TGCCTCCAGCCACCCACCTCCCTCCAACCACCTGCCTCCTCCAGCCACCAGCCACCTGCCTCCGGCCGCCTGCCTCCAGCCACCCGCCCCACCAGCCACCTGCCTCCAGCCACCTGCCTGCCTCCAGCCACCTGCCTGCCTCCAGCCACCTGCCTCCAGCCACCTGCCTCCAGCCACCACCTGCATCCCTCCAGCCACCTCCCTCCACCCGACCTGCCTGTGTCCAGCCACCAGCCACCTGCCTTAGTAATTTACTAAGGCCCCTATAGTAGCTTTATCGTAGATGCTTAAGCCCTAAAGGGCGTCCCTCTAGAGGTACTTTAATGCTTAACCCAAAACTTAAAACCCTAATCCCTGTATGGCTACATGGAGCCTCCGGCTTCGGAACTGCAGAAGTCGGGGGTGTCGGACTTTTAGGCTTCGAGGGTTCAAGCGGTTTAGGGTTTGAAGGGTTAAAGGGCTTTGGGGGTTTAGGGTTTAGGGTTTGAAGGGTTAGAGGCTTAAGGGGCTGGGGCTTAGGCTTTAGGGTTTGGGGGTTTAGGGCTGAGGGCGTTTATGTTTCATGCCCCAAGGAGTGTTGCACTGTGCCTCCGCGATTTCATGCGGGTATATTCTGTCGAAAGGACTTGCAGCGCTGGGGTCGGTTCGCAGCAGTGAGCCTTGCACCCTAAACCCTAAACTACCCATAGGCTCCATGGTAGTTCCTTTTTGTGGCTTGTATTTAGGATCCTATTAGGTAATCCCCAAAAGGAACTACTATGGGGCCTATGGGTAACCCCTAAAACCGAAACCCCCCTTTATTGCATTGCCAAACTCTCGGGTTCAGGTTTTTTGCACAGGCGCTTGACTTCAAGTCCTCCAAGCACCCAGAGAAATCCCTAATCCCCTAAATCCTTATAGAACTCTTTTAAGGAAGCCTGATAACACCCAACCCTAAAGAAACCGCAAGGAACCCTTTAATGTTGACCCTAAACCCTTTCAAATGGACCCTAAACCCTCCAAAGTTGACCCTAAACCCCAAACCCTAAACCCACTAAGCCCTAAACCCTAAACCCCAAACCCACTAAGCCCTAAACCCGAAACCCACGAAGCCCCACCTCACGGAGGATGTGACTTCGCGGCGTAGCCAATGGCACCTGAGCATGAATCGGTTCAGGACCCAGGTTTCATGCTCTAGGGGCTTAGGGTTTAGGGTATATAGGGTTTGGGGTTTAGGGTTTAGGGTTTGGGGTTTCGGGGTTTAGAGGGTTTAGTTTGAGGTTTGGGGTTTCGGGCTATACGATCCAAGGTTTATCTCCGGACATGCTTCCGATCTGATGTAAGAGAGTCCATGTACATATCTATACAGTTTCTACTCGTGGGCCGTACAGAGTTCCTATATAGATACCTGAGTTGCAAAGTATATTCGTACTGCATGGACCCTATAATCCCTATAAAAACCTACAGCGAACCTTCATAATTCGCCCCGAAGCCCGAAGCCCTAAATCCCTGAAGCCCTAAACTCGATACCTAGACCCTAAACCCTGAACCCTAAAGGGTTTAGGGTTTAGGGTTTAGGGTTTAGGGTTTAGGGTCCTAAACCCCAAACCCTAAAGGTTGAGCTGTGCGCGGTCCGGTGTGGGGGGATCGCTGAGTGCCAGGCGGTCGAACCGGCTTCGGCGCTTGGGAAACCGGTTAGGATTTAGGGTTTACACGGCTGAGGGTGTAGGGTTTTGACACTCACACTCGGACAAGCTAGGGTTTAGGGCGTAGGGTTACTAAGTGCCATGAACCGTTAACTTGAAGTAAACCCTAAGCCCTATGTTACCCCAGAACCCTCAAACACTTGTTGAACCCTAAACCCCACAACCCTCAAACCCTAAACCCGGAAACTGTTGAGCTCAAGAGCCGCAGCGCGGATGGCAGCTCGGAAATCCCTCTCCTTGCTTGTTTGCTCTGGGGTTTAGGGTTTTGGGGCTTACGTGTTTCTTTTGGGTTTAGGGCATTGGGCTTAGCTCTGTTCAGCTTTATGGCGAAGGCTTCTTGGAGGCACCTAAGGGTTGAGGAGTTACGGATTCCGGGCCCGGGGCTTGGATCTCGTCTTTAGGGGGGTTGCACCTGCTACATGGGTGAACACGGGCTATAGACAGCAACGAGAGCTTCATTCATAGTAAAACCCATGCGAGTAAAGAAGCCATGGCAACAGCTTTGCACGGGAGATCATCATCACCATCAACATCGTAACTAAAGCCCATAAAGCAGCTTAGTCGCCCAGCACCAACACAATGAGAATCGCCATCATCATGATCCTCGCTCCACTTTCATATACAATGAAACAGGAAACGACCCCACACACAGCAGCAGCCTCGGGTTCGTTATGGCAAACAATACCCCGTACGGTAACCATCGACGGTTCGATAATGGTGATCATGCTGGTGGTGATGATGATGATTATGATGGTGGTGGTGACACGGGTGGTGCTGGTGATTGTAGTGGTGGTGTTGGTAGTGGTGATAGCGGTGCTATGTGGTGAGCCGTGTGCATTGCTTGTCATGATTTTGACTGTTACTGCGGCTACGGCCTCGGAATTTCAGATCCTCGTGCCAGGGATATTTGGCAGGGCTTTTGTTATCGCACGTGGAATTTGCTCTCGGTTCGGCATGGAGGATAATAATCATGATAGTGCGAAGATGTTCAGTAAACTTCCGAAGCGAATCCAATTGGGGAAGAACCGCAGGCAACCTCAACCGAAACTCTGGACAATAAAACCCTCAACCCTAAAGCCCCAAACTCCTAAAACCCTCAACCCCAAAACCTTAAACCCTGTAAAGAATACTGCCTGCTTTCTGCTGCAGCATCCCAGGGTCCTAATACCTATGTAGATGTAGGGTTCTATATTAGCAATCATTATTATGATTTGAGCAAGCAGGCCCCATGGCAGATTAAACCCTATCCCCAAACCCCTAAACCTCTAAACCCCTAAGCCCCAAACCCCTGCAAGACCCTTTGGAGCAAGAAGCTATAAAGTACCTACATAGAACCCCTTTGAAACAAGTATATACTGTTATATATATATATATGTATAAATTATATTATAGATATTATATGTTATAATATATATATATATATATGTTGTATTATGTACTCTATAGGCACTTGGAGCCTTGGGGTTTCTGCTGCAGCAAAAAATCCTAAACGCTCAACCCTAAACCCAACCTGTGTCCACAAATTATACAAAATAGTACTGTAGGTTGTTGCGTTTTTTGCCCCTTAACTATAGGGTATAACTCCAAAAACAGCAAGATGTTGGATTCCCAGATAAACCCTAAACCCAAAACCTTAAACCCTAAACCCTAAACCCTAGACCCTACGCCCTAAACCC